CTGCCAACATAACAGTGCAAGAAACAGTGCTGCTAACATTTAAATAAATATGACGTTTGCTAACGAATAAGGTTTTGCTTGTTTATTTTTCTATCCCATCAGTGCAATGCAATGATGACATTGACCAATTGACAATAGTTTTTTTTTATTTAAAAGAAATAATAATGGCAGGTTGAACCAACAAGAAGGTTTTAGTTTATCAATCATAATAATCTTCTTGACAAGAAAATCGTCAAACTTTGATCTGAATAATTTTGAACTTTACTGACGAACAGTTAAAGATTATTTTCTCTAACTCGAGATTATTCTGCAACATAGTTTCAAAAGGTAATAATGTGCTCGTGATTCGTTGAAGGAATCAATTTGAAAACTGACGGACCTTTTCATTCCGTGACTGTACATACTAAAAAGTACCTAGGTACCTCGTTGTAAAATTGTACCTTTTAGTACTAGAAAAATTATGCCATCTTATCGTGCTGTAGTAGCACCACTAGCACCAATCAACTCCATAAATGTTTACCTACTTGCATTTTTGTTGCAAAATAAGTAATTGCCCAATACAACAACAAAACATGCTACATTGCTTACCCATGATGTCGTCACTCCGTAACGTATATTTTCTAAGCTTTTTATTTAAAATACATAATAAAGGTATTACAAAATGAAAAAGGCTCATGGTACTAGCAAAGACCTGTTCTTAAATGTTATACCTACATTTTCATCAGTAAGTATTTTAAATCTTTTACTGCAAATTCGCTGAATTTACTTTCTCAGCTAATTGTCCCACACACACTTAGCATTAGCTTAGTCCAGCGACATAACGATGACGAAGCGAAGAAAACGTTCGAGTCAAACGCGCTCTAGAGCCGTCTTAGACCTAACGACCGAGGTAATAACGCTGAATTGCTTCTAGTGGACCATAACCTTACTTTGAATTAAAAGTTGAGCTTACTTTCATTATCCTTTTAAACCTTTTTCATTAAAGCCCAAGAAGTCTTCATCGTGCTGAGTTCAACAAACAAGTAGAAGTGGAACATTATTAGTCAATAGAACTGCGAAAGGTATTCTTAGCTCCTAATGAGTTTGTTTTTAAGTTTTTTAGTGCTGTACTTACTTTGAAAGAGAATATCCACAGAATTATGTAGTTGAATGTAGGTATTTACATAGATGCCTACGGAATAGACACCAAACATGAATAGAAAACTACTTAATTCCATTTTGAAACTCGCAACGCAACTAGTAGGTACAACTATTTGAACAAATATTTGTATCTGGCTTTTATTCAGTTTCAAAAAATGTAGTTATTTTTCAAGTTGTCTATGCACGTATTCCATCAGTCCTAAAGTCTCACCAAACAAAGCGAACCTATCGAAAGGAATCAACGAATCAACAGCAGATCCACTAGAAGTAGATAAGTATAGATTTCCCAGTACAGTTGTTGTTCAGACGCTTTTACGTAGATTCGCTTGGAGCTGGGGGACTACTCTTCGAGACATTTTTAGTATTTTCTACGCTGTCTCTTTCGTACATACCTATCTGATTTTATGGGTGAGAGGAACAGATAGAGTAGAATATTTGGAAGTGGAATACCGGAGTGGATCCACAGTAATTGCATTACGAGTGATGTCGCGTCGAGTCACAATGCATCAGACTTATTAAGTCTCTTGTGTAAATATTTATTTTGCAGGTTTAAGACTGGATTCTAGGGATTTAAGTTGTCATTTTTTGCTGGATTTACGAGGTAGAATTAACTTAGTGAGTTAGCTTTGGTACTCTTTTGGGAATTACTTAGGTTTGATGTCTTTAAGAGAAAAGAAGTAACTGTAATGTGTAATGTAATGGTAGGTGATAAAGTGTAGGTATACTCAAAGAGACCAGTTCAAAATTTCTGTAGAAGACAACCATTAATTACATTGTAGATTGGACAAATTACTCTATCAAATTTATATCCTAAAATATAAAATAAAAATAGAGTAAAACGTTTGATGGAAAGTTGATTATACGTTTCAAAGTCGGCCCGGTTGGACGTTAATTAAATTTCACAAACGTGACGCTGGATGTATTAAAATACATCGTTTTCACCACTATTTTGACTGACGCTATCAAAACTGTAAATTACAGTATAGTTGAACCTAAATGCATTGGAAGAAAAGTGAAACTATCACTTTGTCTATCATGAAAAAGGAAGCATGAAGAAGAAAGATTGAGCCTGGGGGAGTTTCAACGTTGACTGGCCTTCTAGGTCAAAAAAAGGTCAGAAGTTTTGGGGCTTACTTGGTCAACGCTGCCGGTCGCCGCTCACTTGCAGTCCTGGGTTTTGATTGCGCGGCCGGGGCTTACATCCAATAGTTACAATCTTGCTGCACTCACAACACACAATTCACAGCATATTTCTTAAACACAGTGTGTACGAACACTGTTATTGCGGTTTTACACTCGCACGCGCGCGCCATTGCGAGTTTGACTGGTTTCGCAACCAGCAGAGCCCTCTCGTGGCGTGACAGCGTACCATTTTAGTTGCCAGTATTAAATAAATGGTTTCAATATAAATATAAGGCAAGAAAATTAGTAAATGTAAAATATATGTAATTTTACGAGTTAAGGAATTTTATTCTTTAAAATAGGTTGGTAGCTGAATATTAAATATTACCTATTGAGATTTCCAAGTAACATTTTTTAAAATAAAACCTCTAAGGCCATCAATAACGTCTCGTTACACAAAATAAAATAACAATGCATGGAATGAATTCATTTGCAATTCTAACTGGATACTTATTTTACGTTTCCAGGGAAAATCACATTACGTTTGCGCTCAGCTTAAATTCTATGCCTATTTCAAAAATGGCCGTTATTTATAAGTAACGTTGCATTTCATAAATAAATTCTGCAAAGAGTATTACGAGCTAGTGTTATTTTAAGCCATACCTAGACAGGTGCCCTTATACAGGGTGAAAGGAATGGCAGATTTTGTAAAGTTCTTATTCGTTCTCTTTAATATTTAGGTTTCCGTAAAGGATAGGATGGGAGAAATAAATAGTCTTTTGTTTATTTAAAAATAATTATTAAACAAGTACTTACCGTATAGTGAGTAATAAGTAGTATAATCTAAGGATATCCTACTTAAGCAGGGCCAAAAATACGTTGGATTGGGAATACTTTAATAGATCTTTTTCCCTAATTCCATGTGGGTAACTTTATTTCCCAGAAACGATACAAAATGTTTAATAGTTTTCGTACTGAATGTGTAGACGGAACACCCTGTATGCCCCATGCGGCGCCTTTATACGTAATCCTGTATACAACACTCACCTTCTTGTCACAATGAAAAAAGGATGAACAGTAGAACTAGTAACAATAAAATATTTTCATGATCCGTTAGGTACTCTACAAAGTATTTAGGTAGGTAATTCGTCATACATGTCATAGGCATAATTATTACTTTTCTTTTACCGTGCGGGTTTTAACACTGAAGTAACAACAATGGACTTAGTAGTTTAATGCAGATTATTTTAATGTAAAGGCTTTTCTATAAAATTGTAGTCATTAAAAAGATGATACAATAGTACTCTGTTGTGTATGCCATGGTGATGCAATTTTCTACATTGTGATGTAGAAAATACATCAGAATGCAAACATACTTAGAAGTCATGCATTTTCCTACACAATGGGCTTACTGACTGATATTTTAAGTAGGATCCTCGCGATGTATGAAAGCCGACGAAAAGAAAAAAGACTGAGCCGCCTTATGACTTACCTGCAAGTACTAGGACTCGGTTCTATTCAATTTGTTATTTAGAAAACATTAGCAAACCTTCCATTGCTTAAACGTAATTACTGCATTATAAGAGTTTTGTGCCTTGAAAGGAAGCACAGAACCCGTATTCCTACTAAAATAAAGAGAGAAAAATAAAATTGTTAAGTACAGATACTTCCTAATTCCTTCAAAACTATCAAAGTGAAGCCTTACTTTAGTGGCAAGTAAACAAACCACCCTAGACCAAAAGCTAGCACCCAAAGATTCGTTCGTGACTTATAAAGTCCAGGTGCGCTCCCGAGAGAAGGTAACAGCCATTCGGTGCCAATTTTACGGCCTATGGGTGGTCATAATGATAGTGGTGGTATCTATTCAATTAACGCTGCAGAGACGATGGGATCATGTGCAATGCACGGCGATTTTACTATTACTTCCATAAAATACTAGACGATAGCACTGAATTTGTAAGGTTTCGTGCCTCAAAAGGAAAGAGAATTAAAAAAAGTGGAAAAAGAAACAAAAATTGTATGTAGGTAGGTATCTTCGAAATTACTAAAATAAACCCTTCAGTGGGAAGTAAACAACCACGGTTGTTTGCTTTGTGGGTTGTACCAAAACCCAGCTTCCAAAGATTCGTTCGTGACCTATAAAGCCCAGGTGCGCCCCGGGAGAAGGTAACAGCTATTCGGTGCCAATTTTACGGCCTATGGGTGGTCATTTGAAGCGTACTGGTAAATGAGGTTTGTCCATCAATTCACCCCGCAAAACCCAGTCTCTGATAAAATATTCCTTTAGCTTCAGGCAATCTTTATCAGCATAAAGGTTTTATGTCTTAGGTTGGATAACTTTGGCCTATATTTGGGATCGTGTAAAACAAGTTTTGGGCAGCGTGAAAATATTTTCTGATTGTCTAGACTGGCCTTTGTACTGAATGTTGAAGATTTGTTTGTTCCTTTAATTCACTTGTTATTTTGTTTTAACTTATTTCCTTGTATCTTCTCGTATTTTTAACCGACGTCAACAAAAGACGGAGGTTCTCAATTCGGTTGGTTTTTGTCTTTTACAATCTCTACTAAGTTAAGAAATGAAAATGAAACGATCACGTGTTAAAAATCATTATTTTTTATTTTATTAATATAAAATTACCGTATCAGATCGTTAGGACAACGGAGAATTATTGACATCTACAACAGTTCGGTCGAATGTTTCCATACTAACCCATACTTTCATTAAACTCTATAATATAGAATTAACACAAAATGGAAACATTTACAGTTTTAAATATAAAATGGCACTACCTATAGACACACAATTTTAGAAACAATATTTTATTTTTACATCACCAGTCATAAAAGTTCACGAGTAAACGTTTAAGCCGACGCCATAATATATCAATGTGTGTTTCTAAAATTGTCTCCTATACATTTATAGTAATGAGTATTTACATGACCTATACATTCTTCCACATAAACAAAGACAACAAAAGCCTTACACTACCATCTTACGACCAACTATACATCTTTGGTTATAGATCTATTTATATGTACAGTTACACAACCGATTTTTTTTAAAAACAAATAGGAATTTCTACAAAGCTTCGCATACAATTTACAAAGTACATTTACAATTTACTATTGAGACAAGAGGGTCACTCTAGCAGTTTTGGTTAGCTGAAATAATAATTTATTTATGAGACTGGACACTCTTTGAAAAAATACGATTCCCTATAAAATATTTACAGTCTTTTGAGCAAAGATTAGACCGACAAATCAAGATTCGTAGATTGAATAATAATAATTACTAAAATTATTCTATCACGGTTACTAATGTCATACACAAAGGCGGGAAATACAATCCAAGATACACAACATTAATATTATGTTGTATTTTATAAAGAATTTATCTCATTAATCATTATTAAGCAGTAATTGTTCTTAAGTCCATACTCCTATAACTGTGGACCTCTTTTTTGTAAAATTGTTTAAAAAATTCGCTAGGCGCATACAAAAATGTACATCGGAACATCTTTTTAGTTATCCTGTTGCAAAGGAATTGGGTGAGTGTAATTTTCACACACAACTTTCAGGTCCTGGTAAATTTTCTGCAAGAACATGCTCTCTTCTTCTAGCATTACCTTTACCCTTAGTTCTGTGTAGCGTAGAAGTTGCAATACTCCCAGAACTTAACGTGGGTCCACTTAGAGTTAGGTTCTGACTTCCAAAAGTCCCTACATTTCCATTGGGACAGACAAAATTGGGACTCCCTAATGTGGGGCTGTTGCTCATAGCGTAGTTAGGCCTAAAATTATTTCCTAGGGTGTTCATATTCTGATTTAGAACGTCTTCTTGCCTACTGCTTGGCTCTATGTCACTGCCTGGTGTGAGCTGTTGATGGAAAAAAGGAGTTCATTTGTAAAAATATTTTACTGAAAACTATCGGTGAATCTAAGAACCAGTTATAAGTTGTAATACACACCTGTTGAGGCCGTCCAGTAGAGTCAAGTAGAGCTAAATCTTCTGCTGAAAATACTGCTCCAGTTTTAGTCCAGTCTCCTGGAAAGAAGATGCTACTTTAAAGTCGTTGTAGATCCTTAGAGAGAAAGCTCCGAAAATAATGAACGGATATTTTTCTGGCAGCTACAAGAACCTCTATAAACGACTTACATAGAAAATATAAAAATAGTAAAATATCGATGAGTGAACCGATGAGATTCATGGGCTACCGTAAAAGAGATGGTAGGATCACTCACCTCTTACTTCTTTTATACTAGGCCACTCTTCAGCTTCCACCGACAATGGCTGTACCGTTTGATTGTCAGCATCTAGACAAATAAAGAAAAATTTATTGATGAACACAAATAAAATGGCAAATAATAAAACATGTCCTATGGTTTCAAGAACTTACCTGGTGCATTCAGTATATCAGGCTGAGGATCCGGCGTTTTCAAATCGGGCGAGGGTTTGATGGTGTAGGCCACTACGTATCTTCTCCCCCCATCGCTCAGCTCCAGCATATCCCCTGGGGGGTGCTTATGTGGCGGCTGGGAGCGTCGTCTTCTTGCACAAAGTGCTGCTAAGGCAATGCCCCCTGCTGCAAGAACTGCCCCAAGAATCGCTGCTACGACCACACCCAGGGTGATGCCACCAATGGCACCTTTGCCGTCTGTTGGGACAAAAAATCATGGAGTAAATGTAATGTCATGGTCTTTTCTTCATCATTTTGAGGTTTGAAATTAGAAATTAGAAAATGTCATCATGAGAAGGACTCTTAGTCCATGTCAATCCTTCCCATGTTGTGTGTTCTTGGGGAGGCTTGAGCGTTATTTTACCAGAAAATGTCCTTTGATCAAAATTTTGTCCAATATTATTAATTAAGATCGCTATTTAGACAATTTACGTCGAAATACGTAAAAGAGAATTTCAATCAATTTGCGAGAGATAACATTTTTATAATATTATAGCAGCTGGCCACTAACTTTTTAATGTATGCTTTTAGTACCAAAAGCTGCCTAGATCTGGCTGTGCAGTATTTCAATTACGAATTCCAATAAAATTGTTTTTATAATACGATCGATTTTGAGATGAAAAGACCTACAAAGAATTTGTGAGTATGAGATTAAAGAAACAGAATATTTCATAAATTACGTAAGGTATTTTGCTAAGTCACTAATTTGACTTCAATTAGAGAAGATCCGAACGCTTCTTTCATTATGGGAATCGGTATAACAGTTTGAAAGATGTTTCAACGTTATTTATTAATCATTTATATTGCTCAGCTTATTTACAATGGAAGTGGATGCGGTAGGTTTTATTGTTTTTAAATTATTGCATTGATAATATGATGCTGAAAATGTAAAGCTTCAAATGAGTCTAGTCAGTTTAGCCTTTTATGAAACAAACAAGAGCACTTCGTTTGGCGAAACTATGTGGTGGTCTTATACAAAACTAATTTAAAAGATGAATTCTTATTCATAAATTTATTTTTGAGTATAAAGCAAAAGCATTAAGGATCATAATAATATGATTAATAGCAATACTTAAAAAGGGTGTTTCAATTTTATGGATTGAGCTTACTGTATTGAATTGTACAATGATTCTGGAAGAGAGTCGAGTCACCGTTACTGTTTGAAAATAGGGATTGATGGTTTCATACTTACAGCATTTTTGTAAATAATGAGTGATGATAGATTAATAAATATTAAAGACGATAATTTTTAGGAAAAAGAAATGCTTGAACAAGGAACTGGTTTTTTTCCTCGCTGATAATGCAACATTCGATGAAAACAAATTGTTATTATTCTTACCTGTTCTTCTAGCAGCATCATTGAAAGCAATATTCTCGAGCAGTGTCTTCTCAGATTCTCCTTTAAGATTCCTGGCGTAGATGAGCAGGTTGAAAGTGGTACTGTCTCCGTCTCCCACCGATGACAGTTGAGCCAGATCCAGTTTGAAGGTGGCTACGCCATCTAGGAGAGGGATATTGGAATTAATAACAGCGAGACAATATTGTCGAAAGAACTGGTCTTGTGAATCTTATGCCCGTTTTCACCATAAATCCCTAATTTTTAAGTGACCCCTGTGATAACAAAATTCCTGTTATGTGTTACAATAGGGGTCACTTAAAAATTAGGGAGCGATGTCGAAATCGCATTATTCTAATAAAATAAGAAAGTGTTTGTACATTGACTAGCAAATACAGTCTGTAATTGCAAAGGCTGAGATCATAAAAATAATAATAATAATAATAGTAATTTATTCATCAAAATAAGAACATTATAAGAACTTATTATGCTAGAGTTTACATATATTTCAATAGTCTTTTGTAGCCTGAACTAGGTTAAAAACCTGTGTTTCAGGCGAAAAAAGATCACACGTAAAATAGTAATTAAGTAATAATTAAATAAATTAACAAATAAAAAAACAAACAATTAATAATCTTTAAAACAATTTTAACAATATTCACTAACTGACACAGAACAGAAATCACCAATCAGCTCAATTTATAACTGGTAGTAGTACATGTTACCAAAATTAAATTTGTAAGCTCTCAAAACTTCGTAACTTCGTTTAGTAACGTTATCAAGACTTATGGCGAAGTCTAGAACTTATTGGACAACTTTATTAATAATACTTGTAAAGCCGTTCATCAAAAAGCCGTATCCTTAAAAGCTGCTAAGTGAAAATCTGGGAAAAACATTTTTTAACATAAAGTGGACTAGTCACTATCACTAATAATGACATAACATTCAATAAGTGACATTAGTATTGACAGTATGGTAGTTGGAATGAAGAATTGACGGTTATAGGGCAACAAGTTTATTTTTGTGGGGACACAGCCTGGGTTACACCAACTTACTTTATCTTTAACAAACTTCAAAAGTCTGTCAAACCCCATACAAAAAAAAACCGGTTATAGTTAATAATTGCGGTTAAATTTAAGGTGGTGCAAATGAGGCTGAGAATGTTATTACCGAAGGAATTAATGGCAGATTTAGCTTAACAGTGTCATTGACATTGAATTGACCATTGAATCACGTCTTCCCAGTGATGGGATCCAGCGCCTCCAGTATGAACATCTGTGGAAGACCACCGTCATACGCAGCGCCTCCAGTATGAACGTCTGCGGAAGACCACTGCCATACGCAGCGCCTCCAGTATGAACGTCTGCGGAAGACCACTGTCATACGCAGCGCCTCCAGTATGAACGGCTGCGGAAGACCACCGTCATACACAGCGCACGCGCTGCTAGCTGGAGCCCTCTATGCTGATGTTTCCCGCTTGAAGAGAGCAGTTCCGGGGAGTTGTTGGCCTGGCTGTGTGACAAAGACGTTCTGGAGCTAACTTACCCGTATCATTGACACTCCCATTGAAGCGCGTCTTCCCAGTGATGGGATCCAGTGCCTCTAGTATGAACGTTTGCGGAAGATCGCCATCATAGCCAGCCAGCGCCCTATATACTGTTCTTTCCCGCTTGGAGGGAGCAGTTCCGGGGAGCTGTTGGCCTGGCTGTATAACAAAAACGTTCTGGTGCTAACTTACCCGTATCATTGACACTCCCATTGAAGCGCGTCTTCCCAGTGATGGGGTCCAGTGCCTCCAGTATGAACGTCTGCGGAAGACCGCCGTCGTAGCCAGCCACGCAGCGCACGCGCAGCCAACCAGCGCCCTCTATGCTGTTGTTGCCCGCTTGGAGGGAGCAGTTCCGGGGAGCTGTGGGCCTGGCTGTATGACAAAGATGTACAGGTGTTAGATGTTTAATTAAGATAGTTAAGTTTTGCTACGTATAACCGTGTTTCGGACCACTTCAACTCTTCACTTGGACGACGTAAAAGACGACAAAATATGCGAACATCAGCTCGGATTTTTGGCCCCTGTAGGGAGTGTAAATTAGAGAAGGTTGTGCTGCTGCAGTAAAGAGTTAATGAACTAAAATTATGATTCTCAGAAATTATTGAAGCAAAATTAAAGCAAGATTTATGTCCAAAAGAGCGACAAAGAAAAATTAAAATATTAATATCAGCTATCCAGCTATCTGTGAGCATCGAGAGAAGAGATGTTCTGACCTATAACTTTACGATACCCAAAATGAATAAGATCTTTTGCACTGAAAACATTTATCATCTTGTCCTTGGTAGTGTCCTTAGGTGCACCAAATAAGAACTAATTTGAATTTACACGCGAATTCCACTATTTTGATTTTACGCTTGAGCTCACTTGATAAGCCGTCTAGTCTCCTGTCCAGACTGAGAGATCGTTACTTATATAAATTAAAAAGTAAACCGTTTTGAGAAATAAACATCTTAGACATCAGAGTAAGAGTAAAAGTGAGAAAGAAAATTTGTGATTTTATAGCATTTAAAAAGGCATTAAGTACCTACCTGCTAGGAAAAGGCTTATAGTCGTGAATAAATCTGATATCAAAATATTCGTGATCATATTCCTATTGAATACGATATAATATAATAATATAATTTTATTAATATAATTAATTATTATATCTATACTAATATTATAAAGCTGAAGAGTTTGTTTGTTTGTTTGTTTGGTTGAACGCGCTAATCTCAGGAACTACTGGACCGATTTGAAAAATTATTTTTGTGTTGGATAGCCCGTTAGTTCCTGAAGGCTTTAGGCTATACAATCATCACGCTAAGACCAATAGGAGCGGAGCACCAATGAAGAATGTTTCAAATCAGTGATTTTTTTCCTTTTGAGAGCTGACGCTGCGTTTAAAGTTTCGCAAAAATCATGTATGACAGGATTGTTCCCCTTTAAAAGTTCTAAAAAAAAGTCCGCGATAGTATTTGTCTATCTTTTAAGGTTGGCTCATAGTAACCCTTTTTATGCAAAAAGAAATCTGTTTTATATTAATGCATTATTTGCGGAGGTTTTTTCATAAACATGATATTAATCCTTATCCAAATAAATAAGTTATTCATCACAAGTATTTAATTTTAAACATACTTGGCCTTTACACCATTCGATTTCAATAAATATCTTAGGAGATATCGCAGTTTTAAAATATCATCGCAGCAAAATAATGATCAAGTACTGCGCGCGCCACTGATGGATCAATGCACGCACAGCCTAAATCGCTGATCGTAGAGACCTGAAACTTGAACGGTGTGTTCTTTGTAAGACGTAAGTATCTGATAAGAAAGGATTTTCCAAAATTCTACCCCTAAGGAGGTAAAAAGGGGTGGCAAAGTTTGTATGGGATAACGGGATTCCTTCGTTCAATCTACTTCAAATTTCGCATAAGCATTCTATAACAGAATTAATGGAAGATGTGTTTCGTATTTTAGTGAAATGCGGGGTGCATTTCACTAAAATACGAAACACTAACTATGTTAAAAAGGGGTAGAAAGTTATTTTAGTGGTGATTTGCTTCAAAGTTGATATTAATTACCTACTCATTAGTGCATTTTTTTTACAATCATGTCATGTTACAGACTATCATACTCTAGGGGCCTCCACTTAACCTCGGAGTGGGTGCCCGTTGCGTGCGCTCGCCTAACAATGCATAGTAATGCATGACGGTCATGCCGCGGGCACCTGCTAGCGCTGTATATTATACAAAAACTCATTTTCGCGCGAGAGTTTTGGTGGAGGCCCTTGAGGTCGTGGGAGTAGTCTTGAGGAAAAGCTCCTTCTCCCACGGCCAGTGGCATGCTAGAAGCTTGGTGATTCTAGCACCCGTAGGAAAATAAAAAAAAGTTTACCAATAATACTGCGGTAGGTGTAGTTTTCGATTTCGTAGTAAAAAGATAATACCACCGAGTAACTTTCACCGGATCAAAGGCCGAGCTGCATATTCATAAAATATAAGAAAAAAATATTTTCATGTTTATTTAACCTTTAAGATTTTTATATTTTATAAGTATTCAAACATTTAGATAATAACGTTAAAAACATTTAAAAATCGTATGAGAACGTTTTCGACTTCTCCGCGGACGAAGTCGCGGGCAAAAGCTATTTGTAAAATAATTAGACTAAATTATTAAAAGTGCCTACCCAAAGTCATTATTCCACGCGGACGAAGTCGCGGGCACAGCTAGTAATATAATATAATAATGAATAATATTACGATCATATTATTCGTGACGAATATTGTGCGACATTGTAACAAAATGATGAGAAGTGTCCCATTATATTCATGAATGTCTTTCGAAGCCTGAAAGATTTTCTAGGATCTTCATTTGAAATCGGTAGGCAATTCTCCACATTATGTCACTTTTACAATACATAGAAAGGTTCCGCACTACGTCCGATTTGAATCCGTGAAAATGCGGTCCGACGTTGTAAAACTGTTTACTATGCTAGTTTAGGCTCTAGATCCGATTTCTTTAGTAATTTTCTTGATTAGACGTAGTTAGACGGATCCGGATCGGACGTAGTGCGAAACCGCCCTAATGCGGTAAAAATGCTTATTATGCATGTGTCGAGCGTTACGCACATTTAATCTATGTAAATCCGGGTGCGTGAGGGAATTAGAATTATGTGTACCAAATTTCCTAATTTAAGCTGAAACATGGGGTATACCGGTTAGAGGGGAGTATACCAGCTACGTTATAACACACTGCGGCGATATTAAGCGGCGGTCGGGGCGTATTTCGTTGCACCTCGGTATAGCAAGCTCATATTTCCACTTGCAGCCAGCGTCAAGGAGATAAAGCGACAGAAATGACGGCAACGAAGATCCGTTTCGGGAAATAGTGGAGATGAACGTTTAGAAGTGACGTTCCAGATCTAGTGTTGAGTTGAACTCTCTGAAATTGAACTAAAACTGTAACTGTTAGGGTTGTGCTGCGTGTGACTGAATCATGTCAGGCATCATGGTCTGAGTTGTTACGACAGAAAAAATAGGCCATAATGTAAGATTTAAAATAATAATTATTTCCTAAAGTTCACTCACTCGCTCAACGCCGCGACAGCTTTTCAATTGCTTAGTGATTATTTTATTAACATTTACAGACCAATTTAAAATGAAAACCTTACGACAGACGTTACATTAATTGTACTTTATCAACAGGTTTTACAGTAATACAGTATTGAACATTATTTGCTCATCTAGACAATATACATCCAGGCGGCAAAGTTATGAGATTTGGCTTGTGCGACAGAAGCCGCATACTGAAATTATAAAACGTGCGCAATTCTGCTCCGTTGTTGATTCAAATGTACCAACTTTAGTATATGATTCACGTCCGAATGAAGCTCTGTTCACACTGTCGACCGCGAATACTTGATTGTCTTGGAAGTGGAGTTACTGCCCTATTTCGTACCGAATATTGTGACATTATTATCAGATTTCTCACTAACGCTCTAACTTAGATGTGCCATAATCATAATCGTAATTCCACGAAATCATCTGTTAGTAAGTGACAATCATTTATTGTCACTTACTAACTTACCTACATATTCTGGCCCAAATAAGCACTAGCCTGATTTTAGTGCCTATGTAAGGGACTTATTATTCGTTACGAAATTGTCTCTTATCTTTGGGCACACTGTTTATCAATAATTCTCAGAGTACATTTTTGATTTGCTTGAGCGGTAAATTGAATAAGGTGTGTGCAATGTGCATTTTGGGACACTGCCTACGAATGTAGACGCACCCTAAGATGCATGTGTGTATGAGTGCTTCTATTGGCTCGTTCGCGAGTTGAAAAGCTATTCGAACTTAGAATTTCTAGGCCATTGTTGTATTGAATGCGGAATGGAATCGCGGAATTTCGCATCTCGATAATGGATAGAATATAATGGATGTCATCCGTTTTTTTGTGTAGGCAGGGAAGGGTTGAAATGTAGAACTAATTGGGTCACCCGTGCTGCGGATTAATAACTGTAATATCCAAGGTCTTGCGACTTTTTAAAGCTTAGGGTTATCTCGAACGTAAATTCACGGAAAAAACCAAACTCTCTAGAGATAAACTTTTATCCATTTAGATGTCAAAGCTCTTTGGCTCAGTAAATTAAGATATTAAGCTTAAAGGAATATCAAAAAGAAAGTAAATAGGCTCGTATTGCTTTAAAAACTAAGTTTGTTTTAATGTTTCACAAAAATGATAAGATAATGTTATTTTCAAACTGTAAGTCGCCTTAGCAACTCGTCGTCTTAGCGACTATTTAGGTTCTGAGAAAGGAACCTACCCAAAAAGTCGAGACATAAAAAAATATTTTAATCAGATGAGATGATAATTTGATAACAAATGAGCACTAGTAACAGGAAGGTGTCGGTGAATTTAAAATCTGTAAATCATTGGGGGAGACCTGTGTTCAGAAATGGACGTCTTATGGCTGAAATGACAATGATGATGATGCTTTTAGTTTAAAGTCTCACCTGCTGGAACGATCTGGAAGACGCAAGGCTCCAGTTGTCGGCCCACCGAGTTGGTCCCTCGGCAGCTCAGAGTGCCGTAGTCTCGCTCGCTCTGCGGTTTGTAGCTCAACTCACTGGTGCTGCCGTTTGCGGTACCTGCCCAAAATTAGCACTCTAGTTAAATAAATATTCCCATCTCTCGTTCCCACCGCTGCAACTCCTGTGTAGCCAGGATCTACAGCTTGACCACCATAAAAAAACTCAACCAATGAAGGTCAAGTTTGTCCTCTACCGGTCCAAAGTTTGCACTCTATAGAAAGTTTAATGTGTACTCTCTACACTCTAGTTCGTACTATGTATTTTAAATACTGTAAACCCTTGAAAAGGAGGCTGACAATAGTGACTGAGTTTCTTGCGCTGCTTCTTCTCAGCACTAGCAGTGGTAGGGTTAATACTGGGACGTTTGAAAGCGCTTTTTAAAAGCCTATTTGCAAAAATAAATGAGTTTTTTAATATTATTTAATATTATTACCAGCTGAACCAGCGAACTCTGTTCCGCCTTAAAGACAGTAAATAAGCAAATTTTGACCGTTTAGACCTACCCTGGACTACAACAAACATTTTAAAATCAAAATCAGCTCAATCGGCCCAGCCGTTCTCGAGTTTTACTCAGACTAACGAACAGCAATTCATTTTTATTTATATAGATAGATAGATAAAGATAACATTTTTGACAGCTCGTCGTGGTTGAAGAGTCGGTTGTCGCGACTGAGTTCGTTTATCAGGCGGGACAAAAGTAGTATGAAATCACTTTGTACCTACTACCAATATCATTGAAACTGAAGCTCAACTCCACTTGATTGTATGAAATGAACATGATGATTCCGTATTTGATCCAACAGAACTCTTGACTCGCTAATGGAAACATATAGCTCACCGGGCTATATTGATTCGATGAATAAACTTATAGATACTCACTGCAAGAAAGTTTGTAGTTTCAACAGACAAACGTTTAGGTATGCAAATAGCACGTATTGGAAGTTTATACACATTTTGAGATATAAGTCACTCAGAAGCAAGTTTTCACATTAATTGTCTGACCTGTGCCCTTTTTCACACGACACAACAGCTATTTCGTTGCCAAAAAACTTGCAAAATACATTGAAATGGCTCGCTAACCCATTGATTTGCAAATCTAACCACCAATTTTTGGCACCAAGCCCAGCAGTTGATTTCTTTCCTCAATTACCTGGCCCACACGGGCCGTTTGCTAGTCTACTAATAAATACTTTGGGCCACACGAACGGCACCGTGGAAACTGGTATTTTGGTACAAAATTAGACATTATTCAGAAACGTTTGGGGTAATTACCATATATTTATTATTGGTAGTCCAATTTCGGCTGGGAAGTTGGATTTAACTGGCGTTTTGGGCGTGGGTCTATTTCTGACGTAAAACTTTAGCACTAGCCTAGTTAAGCGCACAATATTACACCAATTTTCTAGCTATTTTATTTTTGCTCATTAATAATGTTTACACATTGTATAAAAAGCTTACCAAACTTCGTAGGAGAGACGTCCAGGCTCTCCCCGCTATTATTGAACTGCCAGAAAAACGTCACATCTGGCGGGTTGGCTGTTACCGAGCAGCGCACGCGCAGCGCTTCTTCTATCTGTGCGCCAAGGACTTGAGGGGATATGTGGGCGCACACTGGGGCATCTGTTTGAAGGATTAAACTTAAATTAAAAATAAATTATTTATTTTTATTTCTATCCACAGTAAAAGAGGTTTACTAACATACACAATAGAGCATAAAATGACATAGACAATCGTATTGGCATCGTATTTTTTAGAGACAGGTGCCACTATAGTCTATCCAATAAAGCTTGATTAGAATGACAGCTGCCATCAAAAGTAACGACATAACTTTGTAGTAGCGATCAATGAGAGCTAAATATTGGCGGACAAGAAATAATTCACGTCTGACCACCTACAAACAATATTTTCGACGACAGTGCTTCCAATAAAAATGTTAACTTCGTGTAAATGCAGCGTTAAATTACACCAATAAGTAGTAATTCGAAATTATAAAAATCAAGCTAGAGTATTAACGACGTCTCTACAAGGTTATTTCGAGTTACACAAATGTTAGTGATGGGACATATCGACAAATGTCATATTAAATTAAAACTATTTTTTTAACATATTAAACAAATTTTTTTCTATCAAATTTTTTAACATATTTAAGTCAAGNGGCACAGCTATTCTTAAATAATCAAACATCGGAAATCAATCACCGGTAATTTTTTGGGTATTCATAGCACCGTTGCTCTAGAAGAGATGCCCACCGCCCTCTAGCGAGAGGAAAAAACCACTGAAGAACACTGATGATAATGACTACGACTTAGGTTGTACATCCTTGACATGAATTTTAAATTTTTCTGTCTTTAAATTTAAATTATAATTGTCATTTTTTATGAATAAAGATATGAAGAAAAATTGGGTGCATTTTTTTATATCATTTTTTCGAAAACTTATCGATACATCTATGTGAACCGTACGAAACATACCCAGCACTAGTCACATTCGTTTGACAGCTGTCATTCTAATCAAGCTATATTGGAGACTAAATAGGTCAGCTGTATCATATAAAAAAAAATCAGAGGTAGAAACAAATTAATAATAATAAATTACTTTGTGTGGGTGTGTAATCAGAGTGCAAGTAAGTGTGGATGTGTTTTAAAGAATCTTTTTAACAATAAAAGTCTGAGCTACGAGTAAGAAACCTAACTCCTAGTGACAAAAGCTTTTCAGCAGGAGACGGTTTAGCTCCGGAGATATACAACTTCGAGCGTTCTGCAGCATACTTTGAAACTGTCACAACCGAGAATTCGGAACTAGTCCTAAATACATAAACCAACAAAGTTTTAACAAGTTTAGTGAAGGCATCAATGTAGCCACCCATTTATTCTGGAGCAAGAACAAAATAGAACAAGAATCGTAAAAAATAAAGTTAGCTCCTTAATCGAATTCCTTCGAAGAGTAGTCGCTATTACATTGTAAAATATGATAATTTATTTTATAAAGCTCTGACTGAACGATATTACCTATTATCTAGAAGCCGTAATAAAGTTACCCCGACTTCTGAGTAGACAAATAACTCTCTTCAATTTCCATCATAAATTGCTCCTAAGATTCCCTTCATTTTGTACAATAAGCGCAAAGAGTATCGCCGACGGCTGGCCCCTTCGCTCGTAGGTATTTTAACCGTGTAATTAAGAAGAATAAACAACCTTATACTGGTTTACACAAATCTACTGAGTTGATTCTTCACGTCTCAGAGCTGAACAAAGCAAGAATGCAATAATTAACACAAAGAGACCCCGAATTCAGTTCGTTAAATCATAACAGAAGTTAGACGATTACGAATTTTATCGCCCAACTGTGTCGACAGGCGCAGTGGGGAGCAGTGATTCATTTAGGTTTGTACTTACAAAACTGCGCTCCAGCTGCCTTAGATTTTCATTAAACCCTCAAATATTTGCTCGCGTTAAGCACCCGTTCCTTGGAAGGATTACTGCGGCAGGAATATGAAAATATGTGGATTAATCTAACAGGGAGTAGATCGTGTACCGCGTGCGAACAACAACATTCTTTACCTTAGATTTGTTGGCGAGGGAGGGATCAATAAGGCAGGAACAGAGTGGCGCGAATGGTATAAAGTGAAACAAACGAGTAGAGGTAATAAATGGGGGAGCGACAAAGAGTACATTTGTCGAAGGTGGACGCTGCGTTCTATGGGAAATTAACTGTTCGAAAGGAATTTGACTATTCTATACATTTTTTTATTTGCTAAGCAGGATTGATAGTTAAACAATTTATTTATGAAGTAACCTAACATTATAACAAACAATCCTCCATATTTTAGAAGTCGTTTACACCAAAACATGCTTTATTCTTTTAAGCTACATGTTTTACCCCAGTTGCATGCAAATGCTGAGATATGCCGTCAAAAAAAATCCGGGTTGGGCCATCGCAGTCTGCCGGACCGTATCTCATTCAAATATTCAAGAAGTGCAGTTGGACGAAGATTTTTTCGTTGCATCCGACCAGATGACGGCGCAAAGTTCAGTCCGCTTGTTGAGATCTTCTACATCTAAAAATAGGAGTTGTGCTCTGTTTTACTGAAAATGCAACAAGACATTGTACCTGAAAAATTCTTCATTTTTATAGATTTGGTAAGCATTATTGAGCTGCTTTACTGATTATATTTCTGAAATTTTAGCTTTACTTATTACTTTAGTTCCTTTTATTCATAGAAAATTCTAGAAAGTACTTAAGAATTTCGCATGGGGTAATTCACAAAATCTTGTGACATAATATGTATGTCTATGTAGACATTCGTTTTCTAATCCGCGACCAGAGAAGATGCGATACTTTTCCGACACCCTTCCCGCAACCAGCCGTCTGCACAATGATTTATGTTCCCGTGACTCCGAAGAGTTGGCCAAATTCAATCGCTAATAGAAGGGTGTTGATGTATTGATCAACGTTGTTCCTCAATTAATCCCCCTGGATAATATAGTTTATGTTTCGCTTTTGATTGATGTGATCGCGTTCCGCTTTCGGGAACGGAGGAGTACTTGTCGAAAGTTTTATTGGGGAATCAAAACTACGTTCTTGGGCACTTTCCCACGCAGTTGCTAAAGGCATTAATATTATACAAACTATTACCTTTAGCTACATGTTCCTCAATTTCATTTATCTACAAAGCCGCCGTTACAAACTAGGTACTTCCAACAAAATTTAGAGTTATAGCTAATATCGTAAAATCGGGACTCATAAATTGTAATATCTACAGATCTTTTCCAGAGCTTTCGTGATTTATTGCTTATTTCATCAGGGAATGGAAGTGTTCGCTCAATACATTCACGCCTTACCCCGTTGACTGTAACAAATCTTTGTTAAGATCTCTTCAGGAATGATTGATACAGCAGTCAGAGAGGACGAAACGGCTTTTGAGTTGAATAGACGGAGGACGCGGAAGCGGTCGCGGAGTTGTTGTATTCCTCCATTCACTACAATTAGCGTGAGACATTACATGAAATATACATGTTAAAACACGCCACGATAGTCTCTTGTCACTACGAAGGAATATGGTTTACTATTAATATTGGCATAAGGCGAATAATTTCGATTCTGGTCTTGGATAGGAATAATTAGAGATAAATATCTGGAAGAAGCTTTTGTCGAGAAGTGGGTATAAAAGGTATATAAAAATATCAGATGCATTTATTGTTTGGGGACAAAGTGAAGCGATTAGTATTGATTCAAAATTGAATGGTTTACGTGAGTATATAAGCTAGAAATTATATTGTTAGGTTGATCATATGGTAGGTAATCATAAACATTAACAATGCTAGGTCAAAGTTTGAGTTGTCACTATACTATTGTGTCTCTTGTGACCCGTTTGAAGACTGTTAATGTAGGTCGACACTAGTATTTGATGCCTTATCTTGATGTCTGATGAAACTTAAGCAATAGCCTACCAAGACTCTCCGCGGAGATGAAATGAAATTTATTAGCGCTCTGATAATAGAGCACAAAAGACCCCCCAATTTGGATCGGAAAAGTAATCTTCGGTACAATTTACTTATTGAGGTGTTTTATTTTTATTCGTTGTTATTTAACTCTTGGAGGGAAGGGACGCCTTTTATTGAGTTCCCTCGTTTAAGAGATTATCTTGTTGCTTTTATTGGGGAAGAATTCAGAAGGAATGCGGTAATGATACCAATTACAATTGTGATTGAATTCCCTAAAACTGATCAGAAAGTTTCGGTACCGTCATTATACTCGTTAGTTAATTTAAGAATTGTTTTAAAAGTATCTCGTCTTACGGGAAGATTTGGAATATTTTAAGCCGACATAATTAGGAAAATGATTCTGCCTGTTCTTGCTCCACCTATTTGATACTTGAGTGGTAAATTTTATAAGTAATTAACTTAAAAGTAGATTATAACAGCCGTATAGCAACACTGGTTCAGTGGCTTATGAAATCTGGACCTATTTTGTAATGAACATTACTCCTGCAAACCTCCAGCTAAATCTATGCGTGTTTGGGAGTGGTTTCACCAGTTATAGTCCAGTGGTCGCAGGCCGAGTTAACGTCCTATCAAAATTCTTGAATCGGCAGTCTACCTTAACTGTTGGGCTATTGTCGCTTATTAGGCCCGGTTTCCAACAAGGCAGAGGAAAAGTCCGTCAAATTTTTCTATAGAATTTGACAGCGTCGGCGGCGCGGCGCGTTACGGAGTTGTGCGGAGCGGAGACTTTTATCTCTTATTCAACACACTTCTCTGCTCCGCTCCGCTTTGGTGGAAACCGGGCCCTACATTTCATCATCATCTTCATTTCAGCCACAGGACGTCCACTGCTGAACATAGACCTCCCCCAATGAATTCTGCATCGCACGGTTGGTAGCGGCCTGCATCCGGCGCCTTCCTGCTACCTTTATCAGGTCGCCGGTCCACCTTGTGGGTACCGGTACGTCGTCTCCACTCCAGAACCTTGCTGCCCCATCGGCCGTCACTAACAAAATAATACTTACATTGTATGCTCAAATGCGTGGTTTCACTGGCAGTCTCTCCAAGGGCGTTGGTGGCCCTGCAGGAATACTCTCCTCCGTGGTCTCTTGTCACCTTCTGTAGCACCAGGGACTTTGTACTGACGATGATGCCTGCCAACACGTTGTGGAGAACTGGCTTGTCCTGAACAAAAATAAAATAATTTAGATATTTATATCTTATACAAAGGCGGATTTTTACAAGCAATTTTATTAATGCCAAGTTAGTGACGATAAAGATTAATGGGAAACACGCTTACTTAGTAAATACTTATTTCCAATTCATCGGATAGGTATTAGAAATGTTAAAGATACACGGAATGATACCTAATTTATTTACAGCTCACATAAATCTTATTTTAGTTCAACCAAGTAGCTTTCTACGTGTCCGTAAATGTGATAAAAATTCAGGCGAACGAAGTCGGGTACAAAAGCTAGTGACTTATAAAAACGACTAAAAGCGGTAAAGTATGGGAAACGTTGCAGATGTTTGTAATTGAAAAGGCAATATATTTTTAAAAAGGATATTATTTTAGGTCCGTTTTCAAATGGAATACATTTTTACGACCTAAACGAGTAGTAAAAGGGCAAGTTGATAAATATTTAACAAGCTTGAAATGTAAATATTTCCTTTTCTCGAAATAAGTATTCGGATCGCAAATAAACGATTAAAGTGCCGAGAATATGTAAATATTATTTAATTTGTTAGGAAACGTTAGCATTTGAAAGGCGACAGGGAAAATGAGCGGAGCAAACCTAGATGAATATTACATGCTCTATGCTTACTTATATCTGGGGGCGTAGTGTGAGTTTACGTCAAACACATTTGATAAAATCGACATCGACTGCGTTAAATTAAATCTAGTGTTATAAGAAGTTTGACTCAGATGGGTGGTCTCCAGGATAATTGCGTTGTTGCTACAACAACAAGAGAAATTCATGACGAAATTGGAACTTAAATGAACGTTAGTTGTATGAAAGTCATCATACAGGGTAGTCGAATCCAACAAGCCATTACGACAATACTCAGGCTATGAGAATCGTAAGAGCAAACAATTATATGGTCGCACTCGCAATCCCTAGTGATACGCCTAGTACTCACTCACGGCACTGACATAGGTAGGTATCACGTAGTATAGGTAGACACTAACAATTAAATGCTTATTAAGTAATTACTCGTCGATACTTGTATTAATTTGGGTGTATTATTCAAGAAAAATCTGGTAACTTTCCCATTACTTTTGATTGCTTTTTCAATTAAGGTTTAATTAAATACGGAAAAACCTAGGGCTAAAAGCCCGGTGGATAGGTGTCGGCGGCTTTATTTCAAAATAATCATTCGAAGACTTTGTACTTTCTATGACTTGTGATGGTGACAACATGTCAACTGCCGACGACTCTACCATACGGCGGGTCAGCGGGTTTTGTGAGACTGCATTCATTTATTTGCTTGTCTGATAAGTTTTGGACAAAATAAATAAACTTTTCCAACAACCTAGAAATATGAATTTTATTTCAAAACTTCTGGGTTAATTATTCATCAGTCATTTATGCCTATTATCTTTACAAGCAAGTCACTCCATGATTGATTATGTAATTATCTATTTTAGTTCTCTCGTTTAAGCCTATTGATCGCGGTAGGTATGTTCGTGCGAGTACAACCCTGGATCAAGATTGTCGACACGAACCCGTGTTATTATTACTAAACACTTTACTCAACTGTTATTTTCGTTGGCTAATAATGTAATCGTACATTCGTTTGGTGTTAGCTCTGAGGTAATATTGTGACTCGTGATAAGTCCATTATGAGTTAACGAAAGAGATTGTTAGTTAAAAGGCAAAATTATTTAAGATTTCCTTAAATATTAGTAATAACTTCAAGAGTTAATTTACTTCTGAATCCATGCTTTACTTTTTAAACAGCTACAAGTAAAGACCAAAACACTATTGCAGCATTGTTGTACCTATAGCCAGTTCCTCTGTTGTTGAGGATTCCGAGTGAAGCGAGCTTCCACCTTTGGCTTGATCATCACTTTTCATTTGGTAAGATGCAGGCCAAGTGCTTCCTCGTTTATATACAATATAAAAAATATTAGACTAAGAGCTAGTGAACGCCAGACCTACGTTATTTTATAAAGGCTGAAAGTTTGTCAGCGCATGCTCCCAACATAGCTAAGAACCATGGCCAAACATGAAGTTTGGGTAATGGTGGCTTTGGCAGACAGACGGTACTAAAGGTGTGTAAAATACCAACTTAATTACGTCAAAGTATAAAGGCTGATTTTTTGATATTTCCTTCAAAATGTTATTAGAAATGACGTCATTCATTGACAGACACCTACCATGGTGGAATCCCTTAGCCAGACACCTTAAAGTTCATGAAAATGTAGTCCTACTTACGTCATACTATAAAAGCTGATATTTACATAAAATATTTGAACCATCATTTGATGAAGTTTCCTCATCAGCCAGACACTTCTGATGGTTCCTTCGCCTTGCCAGACAGCTTTTAGGGTGGCTGAAAGTGCGAACGCGAGGCACTATAAATATTGTATTTTGTACTTTTTCTTAAGTTACTCAAGTATTTGAGTCTGTAAATCATCATATTATGTTGATGAGCTGATGATAGAAGGTAAGTACAACTCCTTAAGGCTTAGGTAGGCAATCCCTAATTTTAAAGTGATTACCTCTGAAAGTTGCCTAGAGTAAAGTTCTTAGCAACATTAGCATTACCTATGTTAATGCCGATGTTGCTAAGAACTTTACTCTAGGCGTTTAGCAACTATTTCGAAGAGAAAATTTGTGGCACCACATTTTCCGTGTATATAAATTCTAGTGAGGATTTGGGGGTCCTAATTTAATATAGAATTGTAATATAATTATTTGATACTATAAATTTGATTATACTATGCATAGTAATAGATATATCGTGATGGTTTCGCTGGAAGGATACTCTGCAGCGCAACCACTTTCAATAACAAAATACGGCGAAGCCTGAGACATAGTTTGTTTAAAAATAGGACTAGAATTTTATAGACATTTCATACATTTATTTTAGAAACTTCTTTCTTTCTTTTCAGCCAAATGACGTCCACTGCTGGACAAAGGCCTCCCCCAAGGTTTTCCACAATGAACGGTCCTGCGCTGCCCGCATCCAGGCTCTCCCCGCGACCTTTACCAGACCTTTAGAAACTTACACTAGTTAAATCAAATGTAGTTCCGCCGGGGAGCATGACGTGAATTATCCTACAAATTCTAAGCGTTAAGGAGTTGTACCTTCCATCAACATGGGATGATGACTAGCTGATGCAAACACCCAAATAACTTTAGAAACTATACTTATAAATACTGGTTAAAGAATTGTCCTCCAACTCTTAAGCTTTAAGGAGTTAGTTGTACTTACCTTCCATCATCAGCTCATCAACATGAGATGATGATTTACAGACTCAAAATACTTGAGTAACTTAAGAAAAAGTACAAAAAACAATAAAATCAAAATCAAAATCAAAAATATTTTATTCAGTTTAGACCACAAGTGGCACTTATGAACGTCAATAGAAAATAATAAAAAAAAGAAAAAGGTAGCCCTTATGGGGCACTTTACATGTCTCCTTATCTTTTGGGCCCTACCAGCGCTTCGAGACAAACATATGGCAAACATATATATATATATAATATTTATAGTGCCTCGCGTTCGCACTTTCAGCCACCCTAAAAGCTGTCTGGCAAGGCGAAGGAACCATCAGAAGTGTCTGGCTGATGAGGAAACTTCATCAAATGATTGTTCAAATATTTTATGTAAATATCAGCTTTTATAGTATGACGTAAGTAGGACTACATTTTCATGAACTTTAAGGTGTCTGGCTAAGGGATTCCACCATGGTAGGTGTCTGTCAATGAATGACATCATTTCTAATAACATTTTGAAGGAAATATCAAAAAATCAGCCTTTATACTTTGACGTAATTAAGTTGGTATTTTACACACCTTTAGTACCGTCTGTCTGCCAAAGCCACCATTACCCAAACTTCATGTTTGGCCATGGTTTTTAGCTATGTTGGGAGCATGCGCTGACAAACTTTCAGCCTTTATAAAATAACGTAGGTCTGGCGTTCACTAGCTCTTAGTCTATATATTTTAATATCAAACTATCAGACTGAAATTATGCTAAACTGCGAGTCCTAAGCATGGACAAGAAAAGAGACTTGCTTATGAAATCCAAAATTTTAGTCTATATTAATATTTTAATTGATCATTTCAACTGTCAAATTATTACCAATTACTAATTACTTAACGGTATTACCGCGACGTCAACTAAATATCTCAGAAAACCTTAAAATGTGGTTTTAATCTCTAAATTAACCCGACATTTTAATACCGTCTGGGTATTTCCAAACATAATAGAATCAAGTTTCATTTTCTGCCCGAAGAAATTTAATCGCGACTTCTGATTGAGAAATTCGTTCAATTATGACAAGAATTCGTAGCCCGAGAAGTCGTCCCTCCAAACATTTATGAGTTGAACTTCGTTATTTATTGATACAAGGTTTAACATTGTTGAAATTGTTATCACTAAGCGCCCAGTTTATCTGTTTATTATGTGATATAGTTTGTTTTGGGTTTGTTACTACATATGTAACTTGGAAGAACACATTTATAAATATACACATTGATTTAAATTACAATACAATATAAAATATGATCATTTTAACAAACGATTTGGCTAACGCTTGACTTGAATATGCCAGTTGCCTCATTGCAGACCTAGATTGTTTATTCTGCGATTCGAAGCGACTCAACATAGATTATTTAGAATAATAAGCCATCTCTTGTGATATTGGCGTAATAACCTTGCTAAATAACCTATTCGGGACACGTACACAAGCGTAGTGCTGGGTTAACCCTTCACTTCACACTAATTAATTGTCATATTTTGTGAGACACGCCGCCATTGCAGATGCAACGCACGTAGCTACAATGAGATGTGGTGTTAGGGTTGACAGCATACAAGGAGATTATTATCGTGCTAGAAAAGGTGACGTGTGATTTAATTTGAGACTTTATTGACAGGTTATTTTCGGGTTATTTTTCAATCACCATCTCAACACAATCACGTGCACCTATTACAATCATAATATTATTAGGTGTCAGAATATTTTTCTAGATGATACGACTTTGTCATTATATTATCACGCTGGCTTCTTTGATATAAAAGGTTTTTTGGTTATGGAAAATAGATAAACGTGATTCGTAATCTTAGCCTACTAACTCAGTTAGCCGGCCTCCATGCACTTTTTACTTGAATATGGCATTAGTGTAAAAAAACACTATTCAAAAATACACAAAGGAAACCTACAGAGAAAGAAAATTCATAGCAATAGCAAAAATCATTCCTAACTGATATAAATGAATATTGTATTGGTATTGTGAATGGACCGAATGGACAATTTCCACCGATAAGAGAGATTCACGAAGTTTTGTCCCACTGGGCAAGGGCTTAAATCGCTCCAGTGGTCCTTTTTATGTCTTAAGTCTATCAATCCTGGATGAAGGGAGTTTTACAACTTTAGAGCTTAAATGGTACTTAGTAAAGTCCAATGTTTGTTGTCAGCATATCTGAGATTAAGATCTACTTACTTTTAGTGTTTTTTTTTGCAGCAAAAGGTAGCTTAGAGATGTCCTTGAAAATACTAAACCAAGAAGTATAGGCGTTAAAAATATTACAATTGACTTTATGTCAAAACTCGCACTACTTTCGCCATAGTACTGTAGTTTTTCCTGCAGGTACAAGATCGGTTCAAACAGCGAACATACATAGTACGTTTGTACGTCCTAGTTCTTTTATATATGAATTCCAGAGACTTCACTTTTAAAGGATATGTTGGGCGAACTGGTGACCGATTACTTCAGGTAAACATTGAACATGAAACAGTGTGCTTACCATGAGTTTGCATTAGGTGTCCTCAGTAGCGACTACGTAAAAAAATTACATTAATTGTATGACATATTGTGCAGCGCCCCTAGCAGCTACTTTCAAGAAATAAAATGTTCATAGATTTTTTGACGTACTCGCTAGCGAGCACACCTAACGTAAACTCATGGCAAGCAGGTTCGAAGTTACAAAGTTTACTTTTAAGGTTGCTATTATCCCAAGAAACTGTGGCTCTCATTAATCTATGTCTAGATTGGTGATTCAGGAATGCAACTCACGTTATGGTACCAGGAGATGCGGTGTTCCCTGGGGTTGGCGCGTACCGAGCACTCGAAGTACACGTCATCGCCCTCCTTGATGTCGTGGGGGTTGAGGGTGCTGCCGAGGGACAGTGACACCACCGGCGGATCTGGAATATACTGGTATGTTAATAGTTGTTTAGTTTTATATTTTCCAAAGACTACAGACTTTTTACAGGCTTTTAACCGGTATAAAAACGTATGACAATGTGAACATTACACTGATTTGGTATGAGCTGATTCCCCGTTATTTAGAAGCAGACCAAACTTTCAGGGGGTAAGAAGTCTGTTGTTGTTTCTTTTAAAATAGAAGTTTAGCTAAACGTGTAATGTTTCAATGTGAGATGGTTGTGTGATTTAGATTTCAAAAATTCACTCTCAACCTCACTGGGAGTAATCGTAAGATGATCAGCATAAATCCCTTAAACATAGTGACATGTGTCATTGGTTCAATTGCACAAATGTTAAGTAAGTAACATCACAAATGTTACTTACTTTGGTTTAGGTTTAGTTGGGCCTGGGCGTTTATTTATACCTGGAGTCATATAGGTTCACAGTATTGTACAGATACAAGAGCTAGACCTCACCACCTTTATACAGTGTGTCCGGGCTTGTAGTGATCAAACTTTAAGGGCGTAATCTATGGACAATTTTATCGATGAAAATACTTCAAATTTGGGGCTTGACCCATTTCTCGCAAAATTACGAGGATTTAAGTTTTTAATTTTTAGTTTTCACCTCTTCCTTCAAAAACAAGTGAAAGCGTGGGTAGCTTAACACTAATAAGCAAAAATTTTATATCATGCTATAGCCAATAAAATTATCTATTAGCAGAAGTAGAAAACAGATACAAGTTTCATACATTTTAAGGGAGTAAGAATGGATTTAATTAGAAAAAAACATGACTTTTTTCACTTCTTTTTCAGTTATTTTCCAACACAAGAAAAACCAGGTCGTTAAGGTATGTTTTATTTGCATTGTATTATTAGTATTTGAGCTATTCTACAAAACGAATGTAAATTTATTAGTCTACGTCTATTAGTTTCGACGTAATTGTTGAACAAAGATACCCCTTCCCAGCGGTTTCCATAGTAATCGGAATAGGTTGTGTGATTCTTTCAGGCAGTGCATTTTCGCATGTCGCGTGCGCTATGGAAACCGCTGGGAAGGGATATCTTTGTTCAACAATTACGTCGAAACTAATAGACGTAGACTAAATAAATTTACATTCGTTTTGTAGAATAGCTCAAATACTAATAATACAATGCAAATAAAACATACCTTAACGACCTGGTTTTTCTTGTGTTGGAAAATAACTGAAAAAGAAGTGAAAAAAGTCATGTTTTTTTCTAATTAAATCCATTCTTACTCCCTTAAAATGTATGAAACTTGTATCTGTTTTCTACTTCTGCTAATAGATAATTTTATTGGCTATAGCATGATATAAAATTTTTGCTTATTAGTGTTAAGCTACCCACGCTTTCACTTGTTTTTGAAGGAAGAGGTGAAAACTAAAAATTAAAAACTTAAATCCTCGTAATTTTGCGAGAAATGGGTCAAGCCCCAAATTTGAAGTATTTTCATCGATAAAATTGTCCATAGATTACGCCCTTAAAGTTTGATCACTACAAGCCCGGACACACTGTATTATAGCTTGTAATACAGTATTAGTTTAGGCTCAGCCTTAAATTCAATGAAATACCACCTCTCCATTTCAATTTTCACGCAGATTGCGAAACCGTTTTCGTGGATAGCCAAACAGATTTGCAAGTTAAATTGCATAAAAAACGGGAGCAATTATTAACTTGGTATAACAAAATAAATGTCCAATTTCCGCCCTGAACCGGTCCATTGCTATTTTAATTTCTCCGTTCGCGGTTGAGGAGGCGCACAAAGCTAAGCAGTACGGCCGGTCATTTTTCCGAAAGCGCAAGAAACTCTGACTCTATTACGAAAGGAAATTAATTTCCAAATATAAATAAATTCTATTTACTTCTGCTCAGCGAACCATAACGCATTTAGAACTGGGGGAATTCCAACGCTCCCGGCGCGAATCGTTTTGGCAACATTTTAAACGGCGGAATCGTAAATGTTTATTCGGAGACGGTCTCGCAGGCGACGTTATAGGTCTTTAATGGGTAATAAAACCTCAACCCCCGTTCCTGGTCGTAGATAAGTGAGCACCTGAATAACCCCTCGAATTCAAGTAATCCTAATAATCACCCGATGACTCAAAACACTAAGCGCCTACTTAAAAATGTTTACGGAGCGAAGCGGACCGAATAAATCAACATTTAACGGCCTAATTCGAATCAAGGCTATATTTTCTCTTTTTGCTTCAACTTGTTTAACGACATCGAGTTCACGTTAAACTTTTGATGGCATGTTTTTTCTTAAATTAATCAGTTTGAAGTTAAACACAAAGAATTATTAAGCGTTTCAATTCTGAACGGTGATTAATATAGCAATTCTGTGAAAGCTTAAAGGGAAATTTCGTCTAGTAACTTGCCATAATAACTGTGTAATAGGAAGTGGAAACGGCTAAGTTTTGATGACTTAATGAACATTCTAATACAATTTTCATTCAATCCATTATTAAGAGCCTGCGCTTTGTGAGCTGAATGAGTTATGCGAGTATAATGCCGGTGCCTTTTCTGCTGTTTCGTTCGTAAGCCGTGATGAATTATGGCCGATTGGTTTTACCCAATAACTGGATTGTTAATTGTGTATTTTGCAAGACATTAATTTGACAAATACGATGGGAAGTAATTAATGAGTGCTGTTGAAAAATAGGAAATAATATGCAGACTTATGTTGGTCTTTAGAACAGTCAATATTGAAGTTGAAATTATAAGTATTTATTAGAAAGATGCCACCTATTCATTGTAATGTGTATCCTACAAAAAAAAAGCGTTAATAGAACATGATAAAGTTATAGTGAGATAGGAATTTCTTTCAGATAAAGGAAGATAATAGTAAATGATAGGCAGGGAAATGTTATTAGTTTTCAATAAAAACGAAAGTATCTATACTTCTCGAATAGACTTGAGTAAGAAAGGTAAAAATAATAAATTATGTCAGTACGTGATTGGAGATGCGAAATAACTGAGCAAAATTTATTTGAATTGAAAATAAAGTTTTTTCTATTTAAAAAATAATATGCAAAACCTCGTACCTAATTTATTTTGTTAGAGAAACCATTTTTATCTAAGCTGTAGATTGTAATTTCCGGTAAGCTAAGCTTCCAATTTAGCTTTCCATTAGATTCTGCTTAATCGGATATAATATTTTTTCTTTTCTCATGAAGCATAATACTCTCTTTTCTCTTTTATAAATGTTAGCGATGCCTAAATTAGGATTCTTTAAAATGATTAAACGACCTAATGATGTAACCAATTATGTTTCATTCTTAATTTAGTTACAACACAAATATAAGATAATAGTTTATTAGCAAATCTAGAGACATCGATATCACTCTTGGCATACAAGCTCTCCCTATACGGATACGAGCCCCTCAACGTACTCTAGTCAGAATTAGTTTTTGGCCTGTCCTCCACGGATGTTAACTGTCCATGTTGTGTGGACTAACCAACACTAACAAGGTTTTAATTACGAACGCCGCGTTGTAGCCTTAAGCGAAATTTCCATGGAGAGCGAAAAAAGCGAGCGCCATGAGAATCGGGATTTTGAACGCATATTTTAACGATCCGCTTTAGGCACAATAGGAGATCTGGATTTTCAGATCTACGGCGGTGCTTTGTTGACTTTGCCTTTATGCTTTTGACGGATTCCTGATAGGCGCGTCTGGGTGATTCTGAATTAGTTTAGACGTTGGTAAGGTAGGTATTTGAATAAGAATTTCTAGTCCAGTGTGCTTACCACGAGTTTACGTTAGGTGTGCTCGCTAGCGACTGCGTAAAAAAATGACATTTAAATGTATGACATATTGTGCAGCGCCCCTAGCGGCTACTTTCAAGAAATAAAATCTTCATAGAATTTTTTGACGTATTCGCTAGTGAGCTCACCAAACGTAAACTCATGGTAAGCACACAGGAATAATGTGGGTGATTCTTAAATATACGTACGTACGTAAGTAATTTTACTATAAACGCGAATGTCAACTTGGTTTATCTGTAGAGATTTTGGAATTGAGATAATTTGAGGCTCAGAGAAAGATAAATAGTATTTTGCCAGTTTTATGGAATGAGGATAAATGCGCGATTAAATATTTTTCAGACATTTCACGGTGGAAACCGTAGGAAAAAGTTTTAGTTTTAAATAATTTTGATTAATAGAAGGCATAATATTGGAAGGTACTAAAAGCACAGGTGAGTACCGATAGTTAAAATTTAACAAAGAAGTGAAAAAACATTTTGATGCTTCAAATCTTAGGCGTCAATTAAATTCCTTTCTAAGCCTTATCGCTTGAGGAAAAATCTTCATAATTTAACTTTTTATACCCCGTTGACAGATTAATCAAAGTTGAGTACCAAAGATTACGATTTGTTTTGAAAAACCGCAAATTAAAAGTTGAACAGTTAGCCTGGGCACCATCTTACTTTAACTATGAAACGACAAAAATATGTCAAACTTTGTTCAAAAACACCAGTTAAGTACCAACAAAAAGCCAAAAAGTTCGCAACACGACTTTGTTACAATTGGAATAAGATTGTGTAGTCAAATTTTTGCCCACTTTGGGTGTCACGAACTTATCTGACACTGACTCTACTGGTGCAAGTTTGCTCTTTACCAAAGTCTGGTCTTTAAAATTTTTACATATTAAGCGCGATTAGATACCGAATGCCTCTACAGGGTGTTAGGTAAATGGGTATATGAGCCGACACTAGCCCATGTTAACATGGGCATATAAATGGTATGGTGAAGTCAGAAATTTGATATCATCATTTTATAATTTTTTATTTTCATACAAAATAAATTTTATAAAATCTGATTTGTATGAAAATTAAAATAATTAAAATGAAAATATCAATTTTCTGACTTCACCATACCATTTATATGCATATGTTAACATGGGCTAGTGTCGGCTCATATACCCATTTATATCTAACACCCTGTATATTGTCATACAGTGTGTAGAAAATTAATTGAA